CAGGAGGTTCTACGCTCTAACTAGAGTACTCAACTGGTTTCAGGAGGTTCTACGCTCTAACTAGAGTACTCAACTGGTTTCAGGAGGTTCTACGCTCTAACTAGAGAACTCAACTGGTACCACGAGGTCCTACGCTCTAACAAGAGAACTCTCTCTGGTTCCAGGAGGTTCTACCCGCTGATATTGGAACATCTCTCTTCTCAGAACCTTTCAGCTCCTGTGCTGAACAGCTGGCTCTGTTTATTCTGCCAGACAGAACATGTAAAGGCACCAATAAATGATAAGACCACAACTTTAACCACCATTAGAACGTCAAGTTTTATGTGCTGTTCTGTCACGTTTTCAAAATAAAAGCATGAAATCTTCTAGACTCTTCATCTTATAAATGGGTTCTGGTGCTGTCAGAACTTACAGATGGTGTTCAGAATGTTCTGGATCAAACTTGAACAAAAGTGTAGGCGTTCCATCAGCAGAACATGGGAGTGAGCCTCTGACCCAGATTAAAAGTTCTGTTAGTTCTACAGAAAGATACCGGGTCAACAGAACTCGAAACACCTGAGATGATTTTAAAAAAAGCTTTCAGATTAAAAAAAGTATTAATTGAGTAAAATGTAAATGTTTGGATAAAAGTTTGTCAGAATTTTTTGTTATAAAAACTAATTTCATGATTCTGATCCGGAACCGATCAATAGTTCTGATCGGCATTTGTGATTTGGACCGCCGTTCCCTCGTGGAACAAAACTAACGAGCTCTCATGTGAGCTGAACGTTCTGATCCAGCAGGTGGAGAAGGAATGCTAGTTCTAACTGAGCATGCTCATGAAGTCACAGTGGCTAGAGGGTGGGCGGAGCCAGAACTCAGAACTCCACCTTACAGGCAGGGAAGGTGTCGTCCTGCATGGCGACGGTACTGTTGCTGCCCAGCACGGTGAGGGACAGCTCCCGCTGGCGCTCGTGCGTCTCTTGGTACCACTCGTGCATCGCTAGCGAATCAAAGGTTGGGATGAGGGTCACCTGGTGGGAAGGAGGGGAAACAGACCAATCAGAGAAGGAGAAGAAGAAGAAGATGACTCGCTGAGGCTGGCTCCACCCACCGGGACGTCGGGCCAGCTGCTCTTCCCCTCCAGCAGAGAGTCCAGGATGCTCCTCATCGTCGCCGCCTTCACCGGACTGTCTCCGCTGATGATGTAATACGATGAGCGCAGGCGCCTGAACAGGTCCTGGTCCACTGTGGAGGAGGCGGAGCCAGACGGCAGGTAAGCCAAGTCTGTATAAATAGCAGCCATGTCAGAACCAGCAGATCTGGAACCTGAAAAACACCAGAAGAACAGGTTAAAACCTTTAGAATCAGCAGCTCAGGTGAGTCTGAAAGAACATGGTCTACCTGAAGTTTGGGGTCTTGCAGGTCCAACTCTGGATCCACCAAGAGAACTTCGAGATGAAGGTTTGGCTTCAAGACTCAGCTTTAGAGGCCCAGAGGAACCGGTCTTGGATTTCCCGCTCTGGGCAGAGCTACTCCCTGATGCGGTTCTCTGTAGCGGTTTAAACCTGGCGCCAGAGGTCTTCAGGCTCTTGTCGGCCTCGGGGTCGGTCATGCAGGCTCCGGGCTGAGGCGGCAGTGGGTGCAGGTCTTTGACTGGAGCCGGCGGGGGGTCATGAGAGTGGATGATGAGGCAGCTGAAGTCTTCATCAGAGTCCAGGTCTGCGGTGGAGGTGCACTCCTCGGTCCCAGGGGGGACATCAGAATCTGTTGGTGGGGAGGGGCTAATCGAAGTGGGTGGAGTCTCCAGCCCAGAGGCCGAGGGGCAGTCACTTTTGGTCTGGTTCTGGGAGCTGATTTGGGACAGGTCTGGTGAGGCGGCAGTGGTAAGGTCAGGACTCGGGTGCTGGTTCTCTGCTGCTCTGGGATGCTGGAACTCACAGGGAGAAACCAGGCACAGATCCACATCATGCGGGACATCTGAGATGAGTTCTGACATCCTGTCCCCGGCGTCGCAGCGTCCGTTCTGGACAGACCTGCTGGGTGGGACCGTACTGCAGTCCGAGTCAATAATACGACAGTCGGACAAGACTTTGGCTGAAGGAGGTAGAACACATTCCGAGAAAGAACCTTCAACTTCTGTGGAGTGAGGTGATCCGACCTCTGCCGGCATGGACGTCATGGTGGGGGACGAGTCCGGCATCACGTCCCGGACCGAGCTGAGGAGGCTGGACTGCTTATCGTGAGAGGATGAAGAGTTCTCCAGACCTTCCCTCAGGGAGCTGAGCTCTGGCATTCTACAAGAACCTCCTTGGTTGCAGCCATTCAAGCCCAGACTGGATCCTCTTGCTCCAGGGCTGCTGTCCTCACCAAAACCAGGAATGTCCTCCTCAAAAGACTGAAGGGACGGAGTGTGTCCCAAACTGTTCACAGCAGAATCAGAGGAGGTTTTTTTGTCCATCCCCAGAGACCTGAACTTGTCTGTACTTTCCATGGTGGAGTTCTGGTTCTTGTTGATTGGTGTCTTATCAGACCCATTGTTTCCATTCTCCCCGTCCAGTCGGAGTCTTTCAAATCCAGCTGTCAGCTCCGCATCCTTCCGGTTGTCCTTTGACTCTGTCTTACCTTTGTCTAGAGGGTCAACTGTCCCACCCTTCTTTGATGTCCCACCTCTACATGGAGCTTTCCTTTGGTCTGGACTTCCTGAGGATGTTTTCTTTGCGTCCTTCAAGGTGGACTTCAGAGGTTTCTTCTCCTCCGTTTTCTTTGGTTCAAGTTTTTTATTAATTTTTGTACTTCCATTTTCCTTCTTTGCAACGTCTTTCTTCTTCTCTGCAATCGCTGCAGAGACTTTCTCGTCCTTCTTCAGGTCTTTCTTGTCCTCTTTTGATCTGTCTTTCTTTGGATTGAGCTTCTCAGAGGGTTTGGCTGGTTTGGGTTTCGTATCAGAGCCCTTCAGTTTGGCCTGTTCTTCAGCATCCTTCCTGTCTCTGAGTGCGGCCTCACCAGCAGCTTTAGGTCGGATCTTTGTCTCTGATTTTTTTACGTCCACCTGAGCAGGTTTGTCTTTCTGTAAGGCACTACTGGGTCTCAGGTCCTTGGACTGGGACTTAAGGCTTTCTCGACTCTCTGGGCACTTCGGTTGCTTCTCGGTCTTTGGTTCTTCGAGGTCCTTCAAACACACACACGGATGTTTAAGAAAGTCCAGATGTTTGAGTTTGTCCAAGCCATCCAGGATTCTGGTCTGCGGTGTGCACCCGGGGAACAGGACTCTGACAATCCTCTCCGTAGGGCTGGACGGATGCCAGACCAGTAAAGCACAAATAGAAACAAGGCACGGTAGGGGAAGGTCAGAGGTCTTCCCACTGGACCCAACATCGGGCCAAAGTCGCATCAAACCTTCGAGGTCTTTGCTGCCGCTGACCGGGTTCAGGACGTACAGGTCCAGACGGCCCACGCCCATCTTCTGAAACAAGATGATTGGTTCTATGGTGGGCCCGTTAGACCTGCTCAGAGGTTGTGGTTTGATGGCCAGCCTCTCCAGGAGCTGCAGGGTCAGAGTTGCCTGGTCACAGCTCCGGAGCTCACCTGGATCTGGCAGGCTGGACTTCAATCTGCCGGGGGCATTGATGAAAACCACCCCAACCTCTGGGGAGACCAGGTTCTTTGTCCAGTCCTCTTCAGAGGCGGACCTGGCAGCTTCCTGGTCCTGCTCGGCCACCTTCCTGCGCAGCAGACTGTTCAGGCCCGGCAGGTTGTCCACGCCAACGTGAGTCAGGAGCACAGAGTCCACCCGGTCTAAGTGACGGACCAGTTTCCAGAAGCAGGAGCGGGAATCCGAGCCGCCGTCAACCAGAACATTAAAACCGTTAACAGCAAAAAAGGCCGAGTCCCCCAGCCCCCCCGGGAAAACGTAGCAGCAGGGGCGGGATAGTTTCAGGAAGCCCACCGTGGTGGGGGGCTCCAGGAGGTCAAAGGGGGACTCGGGTTCCAGAGACTCAGAGAGGTACTCCAAGAACTCCTGCAGACCCTCCATTACAGGCAGAACGGGTTCTGGGTTCATCCGGATGCTTAAAAAGTCCTGCAGGTTGTGGTTCTGCAGGTCCGAGTCCTTCCAGAGACCAGAGTCCGGACAGCTGACGGTGAGGTGGGTCTTCAGGGCCGGGTGAGCAGAACCAAACAGGTTCTGAACCTTCAGGAACACACAACAGACCAGTCAAACCCAAGAACCGTCCCGCCCCACAGAACCCAACAGGAACCAGGACCTGAACACACATTTCACAAACATACCAGACGGACCAACAGAACCACAAACCTTTGGTTCCAGGTCAGAACTGGACTAGAATCAGAATTTGTTTTTGGCCCAGAGAACCAGAACCCTGGGTCTTACCTCCTGGTCAGAATAGTTCTGGATGAAGTTCTGGAAGGAGAAGCAGCCCCGCTGTAAGACAATGTCTCCACTGTTCTCCACACGCTGACCCACCAGAACCAGCAGTTTGTGCCGAGCCGGGTCACACAGCAGCCGCTGCACCTGAACACACCAACAGTGGGGCAGAGGAACGGGTCAGAAACACCCGGCCCGCTTTGATTCTGAACCACTGAGGAGCCAGGAAAGGTTCTGATCCAGTTCTGTCCCTCTCACCTCCGAGCAGACAATGTCATGGGTCGGGTTCACCAGAACCTGAGTGTCCAGAACCTCTCCTCGGTGCTGCAGAGTCCGCTGACCTGCAGAACAAACAACAGATTACACATGAACCCACTGGGCTCTCAGAACCACAGCAAAAGGCCCGTTTAGTCTTTCAGAACAAGGAGGATTTACCGTTTCCTCACACTGTGCTGAGAACTGGGTCTAAACTGGACCAGAACCAGCTCAGTGCGGAAACATTTTTAATTTAACCCACAGCTCTCTGTTTCCGGTCCTCCTGGGCCCGAGAGGCGGCTGTTTGGACTGTGGAGGGAACCGGAGTACCGTGGAAAACCCACTAACACCCCACAGGAGGACCCCAGGTCCAAACTGCTAGGTGTGAGGCAGTGGCGTTAACCACTGATCAACTGTGCCGCCACATATCACCCCCCCACCCAAACTCCGCCCACCTTACATCATGATGCCTTCACTGAAAGTAGGAAAACCGAATACTTTCTATTAACAGAACATTAAAGTCATCAGGTTTATTTTACAGTTAATTTCAGAAATAAATGGTGGAGTATTAATATTAACAATGTTTTAATAAGTTTGATGTTTCATTGAAACTAAAAATAACTACATTAAATGTGGTCAAACAACTCTTTCAGTAATGTTCAGAACCAGAAGCTGGTTCCATGGACCCCCCCCCCCCCCCCACACACACACACACGCACGCCACCACTTATCTGCAGGCTGTTCAGCAGAGTCTCAGCTGACTGCAAGCAAACACACACACTCACACACACAAACGTTTTTGTTTTCACATTCTCTAAAGCTTTTTTGTGTTTTGAGTCTCTCCTCTTTACCGTACGGTTGATCTTCTCCTTAATTGACCACGCCCACTAATGAGACAGGAAGTGTGCTTTTTTACTCTGTCCACGCCCATTAAGAAGACAGCTGAGTGAAGTGAGACTTTGTCATGATGGAGGGTTTTTGACTGTCTCACCTGGGACGTCTTCAGACAGGAATGCCGAATGTCTCGACACAAAGAGCTTCAGCTGCTGATCCAGAACCGAAGCATCCAGATCCACCTGCCAGCAGCGCACACCTGGAACACAGAGATTAGTGACCAAAATGGAATAAAATACATACAGAAAAAAGTGGGAAAAAAGAACTGTTGGACCAGCCAATCCCAGCAGAGCCCACGGCTGGACCAGCCAATCCCAGCAGAGCCCACGGCTGGACCAGCCAATCACAGCAGAGCCGACGGCTGGACCAGCCAATCCCAGCAGAGCCCACGGCTGGACCAGCCAATCCCAGCAGAGCCCACAGCTGGACCAGCCAATCCCAGCAGAGCCCACGGCTGGACCAGCCAATCTTCATTTACAATCAGCTAAAAACAACTTTATTAAAGTGAAACCAGGAAAGTGAACTCTGTTTTCATTCAGTGTGAGACGTCGTCTCTTGGCTCCATCTTTGAAAGAGCAGCAGCTTCCTGTGCAAACAGGAAATTCATGTGTTGTAACACAACTTCCTCTTTATAAGTAAACAAAAACAACAAGGAGATGTTTAATTTAGGGATTAGGACCAATTAAAGATGGCCGCCACAGCTAATGAACCTGGGCCGACAAAGTATGTCAGTACCTGAGAGTCATCCAGACTCTGGATCAGAGGTCAGAACCGTTCCACCTGATCCAAGTTCTACAACGTTCCGTCAAGACAAAAGAACCATCAGCAGAACCTGTTCGTCTCCTGTGGTTCTATGTTCTGTTAATGTGAAACGTTCTGTTGGGTTTGAGCTCTAGTTACACTGTAAATATCAGTGTAGAACCGGTTTGGTAACTGGGTCAGAACTCTTGGCCCAAGTTTAAAACAATGACAGAACCAGAATATCCAGAACTACAATAGTATGACCGAACCAGAACCAGAACCAGTACACTTCAGCTGCTCTGCACAATACAGTACCAGACTGATTCTGGACCGAACCCGAACCAACTCCTCCAACATCCGGTACGACTGATTTTCAAAGTAAAGGCTAAAGACGCCAGATTTAAAATATATATATATATAAATAGCTGCACACAAAAACAAAAAATAAATGACGGACCACAAAACTGGACTGAACCGGGCCAAGTCTATCAGACCCAGCATCCCTCCAGGACAGCGGGGAAAACATTTTACTGACACACAGCTCAAGGTTCGGTTTCCGGTGATCTGACGGTCAATTAAAAAAGGAAGCTAAACTTTAAAGGAGCTAAATGATCTACAGTCCATCCATTAATGTTTCGTCCTCTGCTTAAAGTTATTCAGATGTGAAACGACGGTAGTTTATTTACACCTCGACAAAAAGCCCAATTTAAAGCCTGAAACAATCCGAGTTACCACGTTGGTCTGACCAGTAGCCGCAGGCTTTTATTGTGAAAGGATTACGGACTTTCCGTCCTGCAGCTCGGGTCCTATGTCCTCTACAACTCGCTCACCCGTTTCTATCTGCCGCAGAATGAGCTCCAGCAGCCCGGGGGACCACAGCGCTCCCACCACCACCAGCACCGAGTGTTCCGCCGCCGCTGCGGGCCGAGAAGAACCGGGACCGCCGCCCCGCTCTGTCGCCATCTTTCCGACTGTTTGCTAGTGATGTCATCGGTAAAGCCCCGCCCTACAGGCGCCAGAGGCGTGACAGACAACTGGCACTGACCAATCAGAGAAGCGGAATGCGTTCATGTGCTCAGAAAATAGATATCAAATATAAAGTAAAAAAAAAACAAGAAAAGATCAATAAATGTCGGTGTAATTGATCGAAAACATGTTGAGATTTACTCTGAAAGTTCACTTTCACCAAAACAAATGAAAAAACATCATATTCAAATAAGATCAGTTTTAAACGTAAACCGTTTTTGCATTAAAATCACATTTAAAGAACAAATATAAACTAATTAGATTTTGTTTATGCTGGTGAAGATTCTCAGTCATCCAGGACATAGATTTTGTTTACTTCTTATCTACCTTTTAGTAAAGTTTGATTAAAATACCTAAACTTTTTAATTTTTTAATTTATTCTTTATAAGTGGCTTTAATTCCGTTTAGTTCCTGTCAAAAACCAATGCAGACATGTTCCTGCGTTTAGTTCTCTACACCATTTTATAATCTTTTATAATCTAGCTGTTTTTCCGTTAATTATCATTTTATTTTCACTTGTTAAAATTTTAAATTTGTACGCATCCTTTATGACTGTCTGTTGTTGTTGTCATCACTCTTTGTTAACTCAGGTCTCTCTTGAGTCCTCGAGGCTCAATGGGATGAACCTGTAGAAATAAAGGTTGAATGTTCTTAGTGAAAGATGCTGTTATTTCCCACAGTTCTGCCAGCACCTGAACGCCTCCCTCTGTCCAACATGGCGGCCCCCGGCAGGTGCGGGTTCTTCGTGCAGAAAAAGAATCGGTTCTGTAAAATGGTCGTCGGGAAAGGGAAACAGTTCTGCGGAGAACACGCGACCATGGTGAGTTCACGTACACGCGCTCAGAGACACGAGGACTGAGTCCAGCAGGGACTGGTCAAAAACAAACGCTGTTCTAAAAGCTACAGTTGGATAACAGCTTTATTTATTGGTTTTAAATATTTATTGTTATTGTTTGCAGCAAAGTAAAGGTATAGGTTCGGTGTCAGAGGGTTTTGATCAGTTTCACAAACGAAAACCCTTCAGCTTCAGATCAATACTTTTGATTAGAAGCGATGGAGTCTGTGCTCAACTGTGACATGTTTCCTGTTTTAGGAGGAAGTGGGCGGCAGCAAAAGGATCCCCTGTCCTCTGGACCCCAAACAGTAAGTTACACATCAATCAGGGTGTCGATCAGCTGACGGCAGCTGTGGATCAGCTGACTATAGTCATCATCAGCTGACTATAGTTATCATCAGCTGACTATAGTTATTATCAGCTGACTATAGTTATCATCAGCTGACTATAGTTATTATCATCAGACTATAGTTATCATCAGCTGACTATAGTTATTATCAGCTGACTATAGTTATTATCA